CAATGAACACAACAACGGAACTGGCTACTCACCCGTTTTGTACTCCCTCCCGACAGTTCCACACACTTCACATAACCCACCGCACGCTGCACAGCATATGGAAACTTGCTCTGAATTAAGGTTATGAAAAGCGTCAGCACTGGTTTCTACATAACAGCTGTACTGTGAACACCAGTGCCATGGGGAGGACAACAAGCTGTGCCCTTCAGAAGCAGGTGCTGCCCGGTGACTCGAAGGCCACACTAAGCGCCCAGGCCAGGGTGAATCAAGAGTTCTCCAAGCAATCCTCAGCGTGGAACACTACACAAACCAGCTTACTGGCTCCCAGAGGCCACCATGACGGCGAGGCAGAGCAGGGACCCAAGGAAGCCCAGACTGTGATGGTGGGCTCACTCCCCGTTTTCATTTGGGAGTGAGCCCACAAGTTATATAGGGTCTCCGCTACCAACTCAGTCCTCCTGCACCTTCCCTCCACAGCCCTTCCACCACCTTGAGGCTCCTCCGCAGCTGCACAGAACAAAGAGGGCTGCTCCTGACACAGGATCACAAACAGAGTTTTGGTAGTTTCTAGTAAAAAATAAAGGCTGCAACTAAGCCACCGCATCTGCGGACTTGGATACAAACATGTTAAAATCGAGCTGTCTAAAAGAGTACTCTGAAAGAGAAATTGCTGCAGATAGGACAGCACTTAATCCCCCTCCAGCACTCCCCTTAAAAGGTCTCCCTGATTAGGGGCTCGCTAGTCACGGCTCCCCGAGCACAAGACAGCTAACCAACGAGGAGGAACGGCTCTATGTTATTAGTTGCAAGGTATTAATTTTACTGTTATCTTCATCTCGGGTCCTTTCACAGTTTCTTTTTGTTTGTTGGGCGCTGCCATTTTCCCAGACTGCAAGGTCTCTAGACAGGGTAATTTGTTCATGCAGTGCCTAACACAAAGGCACCATTATCCTTCACCAAACCTCAGGTGCTCATGTAATGAAAACCCATGACAATATTGCTTTTAAGGTGGTTAAAAGTTCTCACAGTGTATTATGACAGTGCACCTTACTTAAAACTCACTCACAACTTTGGAGTAATGAAAAGTATTTAGCTTCTGTAGAAAAGAGAATAAAAAAGAAGATACAATTCTTTAACCTGCTTGTTTTATGTCCTGAAAGATCAATGGAGTATAAAGAAAATAGAAATAAGGAAACATTTTTTATTTTGACTTCTTTCTCCCTTTCCCTTCACACACAATCTTCTGAATCATATCTCTTACTCTTACTATACTTTCACCTTGCCTCTCTGAGTCCCTGAGAAGTTTTTTTCCTCAGAGACTCAACACTTAAAGGAGAATTTCTAGTTGAGCATTAGCTAGAAAAGATCTGAAAGGAGGGGAAAAAACCCAACAGTCTGGCTCCAAGAGCTCAATTCTGAACCCTTAACACTGACTTTTCTAGAAAGAATCTGGTATATGAAGGGTTGTATGCAAACAAACATCATTCCTTCTGCTTCCAGTGCTACATACTTACTTACAGGACCAATACATTTAAAAACACTTAGTGATAGTGAGTATTAGAAGGGAAGTTTATCTTCAAACACTGAGAATTAATTCCAAAAATGTTACAGTTTATACCATCATAAGTATTGATGAAGGCAAAGTTAATATAATACACCAAATAGTTCCTCTAATGAGAACCTAAGTGATCTGCATTACTAGGAAAGAAGTGCTCTAATATAATTCCAGTTCATCTTGAACTGCAGACGGATGTCTCCTTTGAATAAGACATGTGACAGCGATGAAAACAAAGTTCAGAGTCCCCTCAGTGAGAATTCTTCGATATCCTCAAAAAAAGTTTCTGTTTGACTCTTGGGGAGTCAACATTTGGGTCTTTTTAACATCTTCCAAAGGGCTCTTCCAAATGTCTATCTTCTAGCGTTCACATGTGTTTGAAATAACATAGAAAAGGTTTTAATAAAAATTTCTAGAAGGCAGCTTTTCCTTTTAGACACCAAGCCCCAAAGAAGGCATATAGTGTAAACCTGACTGCTGTTAGCACAAATAGGTCAAATTCATCTCTAACCCAATTGCTGCCTATAATAATGATTTTTTTAAAAGTGCCTTTTAATATTTTAAAACGGAAAAATATTGAACATACTTCTGAAATTCCTCAAATTCTGGGGTTTTTACATTTACACCTTAATATTTTGTCTTAAATAGAGCTAGTAAAACTGTAACACACAATCAAAACTGCTAAGCTGTGCTATCATTTTAAAAGCATTTTTATTCATTGCCAATTTAATACCTGTTTTGGATACAGATCTGTGTAACAGAGGCTGGTAACTATTTCCCTGATCCAGCATCTTTCTTTACATCACATGATTTTGTGACCTGGTATCTTTTGAGAAATGCTGCTATTACATCTAAAACACCTCAGTACAAATGCCTCAAAACCCCAAAGGCTGAGTCAGGACAGCTAATGTAAATTCAGGCTCAGAGAAGCAATATTTAACCCAGCTTTCAGATTTTTCTTTGTACACCAGACTGCCATGATAGGTAAAAGCAGACTACACAGATTATTAAGGAGGACTTTTAGACATAAAAAGACATCAGGAATATAAAGCAAAACAGTGGTTGGTCTTGTTGATGACTGTGTGGACATCTGTCACAGGTCAAACTACCAGCCAAACCTGTCATGACCGGCAGGGAGCTATGAAGAGGAGTATGGTCTGCTTTCATTTGGCTGAGCAAACATTTTGGGAATAAACAATACAGGAAGAACAGCATACAACTCAAAGCTGCATTGAAAAGGAAGGTATCAGGCTGAAAGTCAGGGTTTCTAGGTCTTTGGAATGGCAACCTGGACGTTTGCTGTTTTTTGGGGTGAGAAAAGTTCTATCTAGAGAGTTCTTCCACTAACGGAATGGAAAACTACAGTAAGCACGCATTGCTGGTGACATCTGCCAGGTCTGAAACACAGAAGGTTTTAGAGGCCAGCACGCGGTGAGGTTATGCCACATGGGCAGAACCACCTTTGTATTACACCTTACAGAAATTAAAAAAAGGCACTCCTGGATATTTTTGGGTAGTAGTGATCCTTAGGAGACAGACAAGACCACAATCCTCACATTCATCTAAGACATTGCAGGAACGCTACTGTCTGAAGGATTAATATATTATTAATGTATCAGTTTGGTAAAAAAGCAGTCACAAACCAATACTGGTCCTCAAGTTTCAGTGGGACAGAAGCAAGTTCTCTCATCCTGAAACCGTACTGTTCTGGTCAGCCTAGAATTTAGCACCTGTCCAAAGCTGAAGTTTCTTCCTCAAAGCCCATCTAGAATCTTTTCCAGATGATCTGGCTCTTAGACAGTCAGTGCTACTGACTCTGCCAATATGACAGTCCCTTAGCTCACATAATGCCATGGCCTTGCTCCCACTGGCTGATACTAAAGGCAGTTCTGAAAAATCGAGAGATGGGAAGGGTCACGCCATCCTCACTAGACGATTCCAACACGCACTCACAAGTGAATTAATGTAATCTTTATGCCTGATGTTGCCTGACTAGGTGTCGGGTCTCTGCCTTTGATGATCAGTGCCAGTACAGTTAGTGCAAAGGCTACTAAAAGAGAGGAAACCTGAATCTGCAATCTTGCTATCCATACTGGTAGTCATGGGACTGTTTCAGAGAGATTCTCAGCTGAAAAACCGAAGGAATAGCCTATGGTCACAGCTGCACTACAACTGATGCCTTCTGTTGTTGCACTTTGAAAAACACATTTTCAAGAAATAAATACTGTTTTCATGGACAGTTCCAAAAGAAGCAATTTGAATTTTGTTCTTCACCTAGAATTGAAGGGAAGGAACAGCAAACAAAACACTTCAGGGACATAGCCCTTCTTAAAGAGGAAGTGCATACACTGTGCCTTGTAACCTAATGGTCTCCGACTACAGCTTTTTAATAGTTTTGTATGGACTCAAAGTGGTGACTCCCCCATCCACACATCCCATCACCTCAGTTTTTTCAGCATTAGGTCTTATGTACTGACAGAACATGAATGGGATCCAGTAATTTCATAAAGTTAGCAAAGCAGAGCAGTAATAGCTAATGTGATATGCTGTCATGTAATGCCTTACATATATTTATAGAAGTAAATGAGTACGTGCTACCCTCTAGTTCCTTAGGTGACCAGTGCTCAGAAAGGTTCTTTAAGAGTCTGCTAACTTCATGTTTGTGTCTCAACTAGTTTTCACTATGAGTCATCCATGTATTCAAGCTTTCCCACTTACACAGTTTTCAGTCTTTCCTGTATTCTTTATGACTGTCAGAAAAAGGATAGTCACTGAGCACACACTACTGACCACACTAAATCAGGACTCAGTTGTTCAGCTGTAAGTGTAATGTGACATCCTCTTTCTAAAATAGCATGAAGATTTTCTTTCATGCACATTTCTGGGCTCTTTTTTTGGTCCACAGCATATTTCAAGAAAAGCTTGCCTGAGGAAACAAACTAAAAACAACAACAGAGAAACTGCCACAGAAACTTATGCAAAGGCATTAAAAATCGAATAACTTTTTAAAGAGCTCTCAGGCTTAATAGTAAAACCTATTAAAATTGTCTATACTGATTAAATTTGTAATAATTCAATTTCAGACAGCTTTGCTTGGTTGTTGGTTAGGAGTTCAAAGTGAAAATAACGGGTTTTTTCCCCTACTACTAATACCTGTGCACTTCTCCTATCTCAAACACTTGGCAAGGGTGTGAGGAGATGACGACCACCACTGTTTGAAGTGGTGGTTATAAGATCCAGACGAATTCAGACTGCAGGAGAAGCATGTAATGTCACTAAAGTCAGTGGAGTTACACACACAAAACAAAAGTGAACAAGTACTCACTAAAGACAACATTTACACTCTTGCACTTTTGAGTCTTTTGTCAACAATAAGAGCTTACATATTGTAACACGTTTTTGTTTCTGAAAATTCAGTGAACAAATATATTTTGCAAAAACATACCTTGAAGTTGCAATTTCGACTTTGGTTCTTGCCATGGCAGCTGCTCTCTGTGCACCCTCTATCGCTCTATCCACCTTTTCTCTAGTTTTTGTGTTTCGTATTGGTATAAGTTGCTTTCTTATTCCACGGACCAAAACGTTATTTTTGTATTTTCCCTCTTCTTTGGTGCCATCTGGAAACATGGTACATCCATATCCATGCCTCCTGTTATTTAGCCATTCTCCTTCGTATTTCATACCATTTGAACGCTCACTAATACCAAAACCACTGCGCTTGTCATTCTTCCATTCACCCATATAGGCTTCTGTAGTGGTGGCATCAACATGGTCTTCCATAGGGCAATAATCACAGTCACCATCTCCAAAACTAATTGTAGAGTTGGCATCGCTAGAACTAATTCTGCTCATAGCAGCATCACTCCTGACAGAGCTCCGTTTGCTAGATATCGATGACCTAGATTCAGATTTTCTAAGTTTTATACTACCAAGGAGGGATCCTCTTCTGAATAAGCCTCCTTTTTTCTTAATGCCCATGGCTTCTGGATCACTGTGAAAATTGAGCACAAAGCCTCCTCTTGTTCCAGCCGGACTGTCTGAAGTGACGTCATGCAGAACAGTGCCATTGCTCTGCTCACTTCGAAGTGAAGCTAAAGACGTTCGGAGGGGTGAACGGATCACAGTTGCCATGCCATAGGGCACACTCTGACGTACACCATATCCATGTCGCATCCCTCCTGTCCACTGCCCCTGGTATGTACCTTTTAAAGTAATACAGAGAAATTAAATTTAGGAAGCTGTAGAAGACCTAGTACTCTACATCCAGTATGCTACAGGCAATACTATATTGTCAGCTCTGTTTTTGGTAAGAATGCATGCAGAAAAATCACAGCACATGACACAGTAGTACACAAGTACTTTTATTGCTTGTGTTTCTTACAAATTATTTTTCCACTTAACAAAGCCGTCACTTTCCCAGCTGAAGTATTTTATTTTGGCAATTAAGACACAGTAGCTATAATCATAAGCATTTTTTAATGGATCTGTGCATGAAAAAATTTTCAAGAGAAATTTCTAAAGCAGGACTCCCTTAACAAATTTTTAAGGTGGTCAGCTGGGAAGGTGGTCAGCAGAAGCAGAGCCATGTCATACACAGTCAGCTGGGGAGGGAGACAGGGATGGAGGGAAGGGAGTGAGCTGGACACTCATGGCTCTTGCCTGCAGCTGCTCACAGAAAGAGCAAGGAGGAGCAGTAAACATCCTGTTATCCTGGGTTTAAGGTGATGACAGACCTCTTCTTGTCAGGCTGTATTTGACAATCCACTTGTCTTCAGACAGGCCTTGGGATCTACTGTTATAAACCTCTATTAAATATTCTAAAGTTTTTACATGTACTTGAATGGAAGAACAAAACCTCAGTATATAATACACTTTTTATGTATGCTTGATAGCAACATTATTTGGTCTCCCCAGTGTCATAAATATGGCACTGCATTCTGCATTATGTTGTGACAGATCAGAAACATGAATCCTTTAGCACTTTTTTTGCCGTTCATTCGTTCTGCAGTTCGTAAGAAAGGCAAGGCAGTGATAAACAGAATATTGCACGCCATTCTATTATAAACACATTTCATTGTTGCAATCACAACTATTTTTGTAATTTTTTTCAAACAGCAATGTAAGGAAGAGCAACATGGTATTTGATATGAGAAGTCACAGATATCCATGTAACAGAGTCTATGCAAAGCTGCATCTGAGCCAAAACCCAGCATTATCAGATTACTACTGCAGACAATTTTTTCCTTGTATTCTCGAAAAGCATTTTCATTTTGATGAGATACATACGCCAGTGTCTGGTCTCTGAAAGCCATTTGTACCAGATGTTCTAAAGGAAGGTGCCCAGAACCCCACAACTAGTAAATACAAGATAATTTGCTTTCTAAGATTGTTTCACTCTAATTCCCATTAAACTCCTTTAATCTCCTCAAAATTAAGTCTCTCGCCCACCTAGTGCTGCTTTTTTTTTTTAAAGCTATTTTGAGTCTGAATATTCTTACAGAAGGATGAATAAGCAACCTTTAAAATATCATTCTTTGATTTTGATCTGCTTTAATTGGAGCACCTATTAAAAACTATTCTTCAGAGAACTAAATATCAAATGTCGAATTCAGTGATTGACTAAAAGTTTGTGAAAATATTTGTGAAATACCTGCAGCTTTAGATGTAGCTCAAAGCTTCATTTGCTTTGAGATTTGATCTCCTTTGTATAAGCATACTGTTCTGGTCACGTACATGTCAATTATCTATCAAGTACTGATTTACTATATTCCCTCCCCTGATAAATTACACTTCAATGTTAACATGCAATTAAATTGCCAAGTGTGCTTTCTTTATTATATAATACTAGATAGGTTCAACAACATAACTATTTTGTGTTGGTAGAAAATTCTACGAAGTGGAAGGTTTTTGTTTTAACAGATGGCTGTTGACACAAACAAACAACTTTCTTCATTTCTTTCTCCTTCTCTGTATCCTGGATACCTACTGCTGCACTGGTTGTAAGGGTGCTGAATCTAGAAACATGATTATTTTAAAAAACTCAACATATGGAGAATAACAAATAGAAACATGAGCACAAAGCACTGGTATGACGCATTCTGTAAATACTGCAAAAATACAGCCACGGTATATTTTTTTTCTTTATTAAACAGACATTTCCCAGAAATATATTAATATTTTATGAGCATAAATGACTACATTTCATCCATAATTGTATCTGGGATCCCTCTAGTACTGTAATGATATGCTGGAGCTAAGAATCTGGCAACATATATTTGCTGCTACATACAACAATCTGTCTGACATTCTGAACTAGTTAATTTCATTTTAAAATAATAAATCTAATTCTAATTTTGATTATACCACAGTATTACATTAGAGCAGCAACTCATAATTATGGCTCTCCATGTTGCTATTTGAGTGTCAGACTCAAAGTAGAATCAACTTATTTCAGTATGGAATTTTATAAAAGTACAAAAGGTCAGTCTTTTATCTTACTAATATTTTGTTTTAATTAATAAACATGCAAAGCTCAAAAATACCTAATTCATTTAGGACTTGTATTTTTCACTACTCTGTAGAAAGAAGTGGAAGTGGTCACTGCTGTCCATAAGGACACTAAAACCAAGGGCAATCGATGTGCTGCTATTTACTTGTCCAATTTTTCTTTCTACTGGGGAAATAAAATCAATGCAAGCTTCTTCTAAAGAGAAAATAGTCAATAAGGAAATGGAAGATTCATACTGAATTAGTCCTTAGAAAGTACCAAAGACATTTAGTTGGAATTTTGTGCAGTCTTGCAGATAACAACTATCTCTTCTATCACTACAAATCCATTAAGGGAAAGGCTTCTGATACTAGTGCTAGTAATCTGACTTAATTTTCCTTGATTTTTTCAACCTACATTTTAAATGAAAAATATTTTAATAGTATATGGAGGGCAGTGTCAAGAATGCAGATACAAGAGACCTGTACAGTAATTTGACTAACCGATATCAGACTGTAACTGTATCATCTTCTTCAACAAAAGAAATTTTAGAAAACTTTTAAATGAGCAAGATAAGGTATGTTAATATTGCAATATAATTAAATACTACAGCATATGACATAAGACATGACAAAAAAGCTTTGCCGATATACGAAGATACAAACATACACATTATTTACCTGTGTCTAACTAGAGATATAAATATGAATGATACACCAACAAGCACACCTTATCCTGCTTCGCTTCATACTATAGCTGACTGTTCAAAGCAGTTCCTGGAAGGGTCAACTGTTAAAATTTTAATTAAAAACATAATTACTAAGCTAATTTGAAATTGTATTTGACCGTAAAACAATAACATTGTTCAGCATTAATCTTCCAAAGGATAGACTTAGCATCCTTTGTAACCAAAGAAGCATTCAGCCACGACTTCTACTGACCATCTATCTGGTGTTTAATTGGTTCCCTTGAAAAGGTGTTCATATTTTGAGCCTGATAACTATTAGAAAGTATGTTTTCTCCTCTTGCTTTTATTGGCAAACTGCTGTAAGGTATAATTTCATAACCCATCTCCTTACATTGCGCCATCCCTCCCAAAAAACCCTCAGCATATCTTACAGATGAAAATGTCATTGCCTACTTGCAGATAAAATTTAAAACTATGCTGTGTGAAAAAGATGAGAGGCCAAGGACCTATTAACTACTCCACTTGCTCTTATCCTTTACTTACATCCTCTGTGGCTTAACAAATTTATTGTTCCATCAAGATTTTTGCATGCTTTTCAGACTCAAATGTTAGATAAGCAGACATCTAGAAAGAAGACTACTTAGAAATCAATGAACATATGTACCACTGATGACCTTTGCTTAAGGATTCATTTGCCACTGACTGACCTCTGTGGAACAACAATGCACAACCTTACAGCAAGACGCCTGTTATTGCTATTGTTGGCAGGACCATAAACTTCTAGCTAATTTACACATACTAAAATCTCAAATTAGGCCCTAGTCCCTCCATTAAAAAAAAAAAAAAAAAAGCAGCTCCAGTAGGCTTGCAGAGTCACACAGATTCAACAAAATCTAGCAATTTTAAGAGAGCCACAAAAATCCAGATCGCTGTAGGAAACCTGACGGGCCACTTGAAGGCCCAGCATAAGCACACGCAATGAATGGAGGATTATGGTTTAGAATTCACACTGTTTTCCTTAGAGATTTGACTGAGTGACAATTTTAAGCATTTAAACGCAGCATGACAAATATTACTTACGTTGTGCAAAGTGTTGTGTGCAGAAAGACTGAGGAACACTGACAATGCTTATGTTCCTTTTTCCTCCCTCAACTACATCTCCTAATACCACCAATGCATTTTAAAACAACATACTGGGGAAAGAAAAATAAAATAAGAGAGGCCTGGATTTTAGTGAGTTTGAAAACAAACTGAAAATTGGCATAGTCTAAACAGTTATTTCCCTATGCTGGTATTCTCAGGTCATAATAAAGGAAGAGCTTGCCTGCAAATATTTCACAGTATGTTAAAGACGTATGTAAATCTGGTTTTCTTGTAAAAACATTTCAGACATTCTTCTGGTGTACAAATACAGCTATTGTTCCCAGAGCACAAAAACAAAAACACATCTGCAAACATCTGTGACGTACTGCTTTGCTCCATTCATGAGTATTTTCATTAAAATCAATGGGACTTCACACCCTCTGTTCATATGAACTGCAACACGTAAAAGACTGGGGCCATGGTAACAGATCTCAGTTAGGAGGACTAAAAATCTCACAGTCTAAAGTGCACACTTCATATGCTGTTTCACACAAAGGATTTCCTGTGGGGTCTAAGTCTAAAAATTTAGAGAATTTACCTCCAATTATCAATATTATATTGAGATTTTAAAAATTCCACAAGAAGCCTAAATAAAAAGAAAAAAGGAACTTTAGTTTGAGGAAAATCAGTCCTAGAGCATTTACTAGAATGGCAATTTACTCTTCCGGAAAGAAAATAAAAATTAAAAAAAAAAAAGGCCCCTGCAAATTCAGCTATTCTTCAGCTTCTAATTTACTAGCCAAAAGAAATATAATAAAAATGGAAAAGTCTATTGTGTAGTGAAAGTGAAACTAAAATTCTGATCTTTTTCATGCTTTATTTTTGGGGGTTTTGTTTGTTTGTTTTTGTTTTGTATTTTGTTTTTTTTTTAAATCCCCAA